TGTATATTCACAACAGTGAGTATACAATATTGACAGACACAGACATAAATTCATGACAAGAACTGTTTTGCTGTTGTTGCAAGCCCTGGTCTACAGGCAATGGGTACTCTCATGCACTGACGATAAAAGAATCTTGAGTAATTGATCGTGAAGGGAAGTCTGTTTACAATGGGCAATGAATGAGATGAATCAGAGCAAGTACCTTAGAAGCTTCCTCCATCCCATCACCCCCATAATAATAAAAAAAAGTATCAGGAGGTGTATGCGTAAGGAAGGCGATTTACAGTTATGGTCACAGCTTTAAAGGCGTGGCTTCTAAATGGTAACCGGTTCAATGATGATCACTTTCATAATTAATACTTTCTTTTCATTGTTTTATTGTTTTAAGAAAGTCTTGTTTCTCTGCCAGAGGTGTCTGTCCCCTGAAGGTGGAGCTATGTAAACAGTTGATTCCATGTTCATCATCTCTCAACAGTTATTTGCCATAAATGGAGCAAGTCTTTTTCATAGGCCTTTTGACATGGTTGGTCTAAATGAGGGGGCTGAAATCTTCTTGACATGGTTGGTCTAGATGAGGGGGCTAAAATCCTCTTTCAGAGGGAAACAACATCAATTTATTTTGATTCTCCTTCTTTATTTCTAGGGATAATAGTCTTTTAATGTGCTGTTTTCCCTAATGCTGCCTTTTTTTTTAATTTTGCAAATTGTGTTGCTGCAGCTGGGTTCTGAGTTTCATTTAGTCATGATCATTTTGAAGCACTCAGCTCAGCATTAACGCTTCGACTTGTCACAGTGCCCTAGATAAAAAAAAAAAAAATCTGAAGAACGTGAAACATCTGCTTGGTGTTTGTAAGGATGAAGGTTTCCTTTGAGGATACACACAGCACAATTCCATCCTAGTGCAGCATGCCCAGGAGTCAAAATGGAGGCTATAAATGTAAGATCAGCAAAAGTCATATATATTTGAATTGAAAGAAAAGTAAGCAGATGGTACGTACCTGTGCATCCTCTGCAGTGGTACTTTACTTGAAGTTCAGCAGCCTGGAGTTACTACGACAACATAATTTCTCAGGGAGAATTCCAACCTTTGAGTTACTTTTGTTCCTGAGCAGCTGGTTTGTATTTCTCAGCTCTGTAAGGTCCTGATTTTGTGGAGACCTGGTGCATCCATACCTTTGAGTCACGATTTATTTCAGCTTTCATGGAACCTTTTATTAAGAATGGGCATATGTGGGATCAGGGCCTAAAATGCTTCCCCTATGTGATACTTGGCAGTCCCTTACAGTTTTGTTTCCCTGCCAGCTGTATCCTCTCACATCTCTTGTTATATGTCCACCACACAGGCAATTTCACTTGTTCACTGTTGGCAGAATGTTTTGGATTGTTATGTGCATTTAAGAGGCTTTCTAGAACTTTATTTTAGTTTTTTTTGTGAAGAAATGCCTTTATCACAGTTGCAACGTGCTGTAGTCTTCCTCCTCCTTGGAGTTTGTAGTCTTCAAATGTTTATAATAGAGTGTTATCTCACTCAGTTGCTCCGTTTAATGACAGTCTAGGGATAGGCATGTTTACTCAGCAATTCTGTCCTCCAGTTTTCAGGAGAGCGTGTTTTTTCTTTGTACTCTATCCAATAGTTTGTATTCTTGTTCTGTTGGCCTGTGACACATTGCACTGGCTCTTTTTGCTGTCTTGTTGCACTAAGAGTATGCTCTTGGATGGCAGTTCTGTCCAGTTGTTGGCCAGGAGTCTCAGTACTTGTAGCTTCGTGGTTATACGTGCCTGCTCTATTTCACTTTTCCATTCCTTTCTCTTTACTCTTCCTGTACTATTCCACACTATTGTAACAAAATTATTCACGCATTTTGTGAACAACCAAGTTCTTCAAAACTGTGTGGTCTATTGGTCCCTACTTAATGTTTGGGCAGGTTTCCTCAGATGGTGGATGGCTCTTGTGTAGTGGGGGTCACCTGGGGTTATATGGTGGTGTACACCTCTCTTGCCTTTCTAATTTCATTACTTTTGTTTCATATAATCAATTTCCTAATTGATAAGCCCCATTCTCAATATGGGATAGGCCATGGCCTATCTTCTCAAGAACAAGGCCAGTGTCCTTCAACAGCTTTTAATTTATGATATTGAAAGTTGTGTTTCATTTGGACTAGTATAACATCCAATGAATCATGAGGTTTGTTTCATTGACTTCTAATCTATTTTTCTGATAGGTGTGGAGAACTAACTGATTACATCTGCTGACTTGTGATTTTACATCAGAAGTCTCTACTGAATTTTCATTGAAGGGATTTTTTTTTGATGTCCTCAGTAATGAATCTGATAAAATGCAAATGCAAAGTCATAGAACATGAAGACAAACAACGAGCTATTCAGTGGTGTGTAGAGGACAAAAGTAGTACTGGTGACAGGGATGCCAAAGATACACAAGAGATGTGAGATGTTAAGGTTTGTTTTTTTTAAAAAAAAAAAGTTAAAGATTCTTAAAGATATAGGGCTAGTCACTTAAAGAGGGGTCTTAGTTTTTCCTTGTTTTTAACAAGCAAAAGAAGTACTGCTGTTGGTTGTAGTACCTTAAATCTTACTAAGATCATAGGTTCACTTGAGGAGTAATCCCATGCTCTGGAAGTCAAGGTATTTTTCTTAGGGCTAGGAAGTGCAGATTCTTACTCTTAATTTGCCTGCTTCTTTAAGTTCACTGGTTTGGGTGTGCTTAGCTGGAAAAGTATTGAAAGTAGGACTTTCTCAAAAAATTACTAATTTTTAGTGACTTGCATAGATCAGTCTGGCAAACTGCATACATTTATCAGTTTTATACTTACTAGAAACTAAGCTTTCAAACATGTACGTATTGGTGCCCTGGAATATTTCGAATGTGGTATTTGTTCCTCAAAAGCTCCCAGCTGGCTTTTGTTTCTAGACTTGAGTGTGACATTAAGTTGGAATTAGGGTTGTGTTTTCCAACATTTTAGTAAGTTGAAATATTGAGTGCAAAGGGTTGGCATTCACCAAATCTTCCCTAATTAATTCCTCATCATTTGCACTGGTGTAAGCAATTGCAACATTATACTCATTAAAAGTGGAGAATGCATGCAGTGTATTTTGGTTTAGTAGTGAATCCTGTCATTGCTGAGTGGTTGGCAGATGTATTGTAGTCCTTTGGTGTGTTAGGCTCAGGAGGGCTATGTGTAGCTAGTAGAGAGCCATTCACCATCAGTTATTTTAATACTGTTGTACCTTCTATTGTGGACAAGCCACCGATGTTGTATAGACTGTTCTCCATGTCTTTCAAGGCAGAAAAATATTATATTGTGTATTTATTTATCTTTCTGTACACAGGATATACCCCAGAGGAGTTTTGGGATTGATTATGACTGTGACTGTTTTGTCAAGGATGGGAGACCTTTTCGTTACATCTCGGGTAGCATTCACTACTCGCGGGTTCCCCGGTATTACTGGAAAGACCGCCTGTTGAAGATGAAGATGGCAGGACTTGATGCCATTCAAACGTAAGTAGCTGTTGACTTTCAGAGCAATTTGTAGTCCTGGGAGGTGTAGGAGAAGTGGAATGTTACCATTGTTACTTGGTTTATTAATTTTTAAGTAATAGGTGAGAAGGCTCTGGAGAAGTGAAAGGTGGTACAGGATGACCTCTAACAGCATAGACTGGGACAACTGGGCAGGTTATAGCTAACAGTCCACTCCCCTGCTGATAGCAACACTGCTTGCTTCATGACCCAGGGTGCCAGTGTGACCTGAAATAAATTGTTGGACTATGAACTTTGGCAACTACGAAACAGTTGTATGTGCTCTGCCTCTGCAAAGGGCATTGTAATCTCTACTCAAAAGGCAGACAAGGTGAGGGGGAACAGTAACTTCCTAATAAAACCTAGGCTGTATTGCCCTGAAGCCTTGAAAATATTGGCAAAGGCGGCAGTAATATTTAAAGCTATTTCACCAGGAGTGTTTAAATTTAGAAAAATTTTTGGAAACTAGTTGTGACATTTTAAAGAGCTTTCAGTTGTTTATACTAAACCTTTAGTCCATCTTTCTTGTCTTTCCTACCTGGTTGTGTACTTATTACAACAGGTGAGGCACAGATTACAAAAAATGCAGCTGACTATTATTTTTCCTAAAGCTTCCTTGATGACGGAAGAGGAGTGGTAGAAAAGCGTAAGGCACAGTCTTTTCAAGCAATGGTTTTAATTCCCAAACATGTTTATTTTTCTTTCCTAAATCATTACAAGGCTTAGAGCTTCTTTTTGAAACAGCATGCCTGTGTGCTGTGGACTGCCAGACAGTGTTGGTTCTGGCAGTGCAGAGCCTATAGGCCAGGGCACTTTGCTTGGCTGGAGTGTTGCACCATCTCTCCTTCCCCTCTCTTGAAATCTGTGTTTTATTTGACCTGCAAGTTATAGGGTTGCCTTGTACACTTGGGGATGTGATTAGTAAGGCTTAGTATGTGAAGAACAGGTGACAGGGAAAGAAAAGAAGTTGCTTTTTTCAAATTTAGGGTTCTCTGTTTTTTTGTATGTCTTAAAACTCTTCCCTGTGTTGTGATGATGTAGTGACTTTTTGTTTGGTGGTGGTGTTTGTTGTTTTCTAATAAAGCAAGCAAGTTCTATTTTCCCTCACATCACATGAGACCAATGGGATTAAGTAACACACTTGCTCAGGACAGAATTGCTGGAATTGCTTGTGTGCTTGTGTACTTTTGTTTTGTTGCAATAAAATACTCTCAAATGGACCTGAAAGTTATACCTTTTGATGTCTGGCTTGAAGATCAGCCTGGGTCCTGACAGTGGCTCTGTGACTACTATGATCTGTAGTGTCTCATACTTCCCTTCTGTCTCTGATTTATTTTCCTCCTCCTCACAACAGCCATATATCTTCAGTGCCTTCTGTTAATTTCCAGCTTTTTCAACCAGTCACTTCCTTTCTTATTTGAAATTACTTGTTCATGTCTCTGCTGCATCACCGATCTTTTGAGATAGGAATATTTTCTTTCTCATTCCCCTTGTCACTGTTGTTTAATGGCAAAATTGCTGCAGGGCTGGGTTGTTTTTTTTCCTGCTGCTTCCTTTTTTGTAATCTTCTGCTAACAAGTTTGGCGTTTTTTCCTTCTTTATTTTCTTTTTTTTTTTTCTTCTTTTGTTGAGATCTCTTATTCTGTGCTTTAGAGTTTTGCATTAGTGTCTTTCCGCTGTGCAGGAAGGACTGGAGATTGTCTTATGTTGCTGGTGTCAGCTGGTCTCTGTTGGTCTTGGGAGAGCTGAGTTGTTTCTCAACACTTCAGTACAGAAGGTACAGTACAGCTAGCAAGTGTTGCCCTGTGGTTATGTGACCTATGGCCTTAGGTGTTGTTGCTGGATCACTGATGGCAGATAACAGGTTTTTTACAACTTCTTTTTCTTTTTGTAGAGGAGACTGGTATTCTTTAACTTTTCCCCCCATCATTGCTTACCTTTGTATTTTTTTCTATTGTGGTGAAAGATAGCTCCTGAATGTGTATCTTATCATCAGAAAGTACCCCTGTGCCTTGCATTTTCTGCAAGGATCAAATCCATGTATCTTTCCATTTGACAATGCTCGCATGCTCTCTCTGCGCGTGCGCGCTCTCTCTCTCTCTGTGCTAAAAAAAACCCCAAAACAAATCAACAAAAAAAAATCCACCCACCGAACCCCTTTTGTTTTTCTTTGTCGTTTGCAGATAATCAAGCCTTACTGCTGTTGATTGTTTGAGATAAAACAATAAATTTTCATGTTACCCCAAGCATCTTTGCTGTGATTTTGTGTGGCTTTGGTAAAAACTGGAATTGGTCTAGAGGATTATTTAGTTGTGTTTTTGTTTTCTTTTCTTCTGCCTACCCTTTCCTGGATCAATAAACCATTAGCAAGGGACTGAGATGCCAGTTGTGTGAAGAAATTTTGGAATGGGCAGCAGCACTGCCAGACCTTCTGGCAAAATGTGATAGTTGGACTCCCAACCTTGGGGCCACCTCTGAAGTCTGTGATTTTGTTCGGGGGGGGGGGGGCCCATAAGACAGGGAAGGGTCTTGCTATGATTCGAAATATGGAAGCCTTCCTTGTTCTTACCACGGTTCTCCCAGTGAAGCTTACCACTTCAAGAGAAACAGGATCCTTCTACTGCTGGACTGTCCTTGTAAATACCTTTGTGGTCAAAGCAAGCCAGACCTGCTCTCCTTCCTGTTCTCTGCAGCCTCCCTTCCAAAAGACTCACTATGCCTTGATGCATTGTTCAGCTAATGACTGAGTCAGCAGCTCATCTGGGACTAGTCAGTATATCTGCACCTGGAAACATCTGAAGTGATAACAGAATATAAGCAAACAGGTGACGGGAAGCTTGTTCTTACATTAAAGCTTGAAGTACCAAGGCCTAAACCTTCCAAACAGCAGGCTGAAATTTGATGTTGTGGTTGGTGTGACATCCCAGAAGACGATGGAGGTGTACTTAGGAGCTCCACTCCTGACCTCAGCAGGTAGCCTGCAGAGGCATTTTGTCACAGAAGGGTAACTGTCCTTGTTTTCGGTTCCTGAACTCTCTGCCAACTAGAAACTAAAGCTATTAAGGATATTTGGAAAAGACTGAAAGTTAGTGGTTTGTTTTGGGTTCTTTTGGCATGGAGAAGATAAATAATTAGCCACTAGATGGGGCTAAAATATTTATAGGAGTTACAGATCAGTGGAGAAGCCTCATGGAAGTATAGGCAGTTACGTTACAGGCTCATAGAAAGTTAAAGTTGAGCATTTTATTTGTTTTGCTGTATTTGACTAAGGAGCAGAAAACTGTAAACCTGTAGAAACTCTCTCTAAGAAAGAACTGTTATTAATTAAAAAATAAGCACAATTTACTTTTTCTAAAGACTTGTGTAATTTAACTAGTATGTATAAAATGCTGCTCTTTTATTTATGAAGTTAGTACAAGTTATTTAATTTTACACTATAAACAAAACAACGTGGTATTACAGAGAGAATTCTCCTGTACATTAATGTAGTTAAAGTGGAGTTTTTTGCCTGTTTCCATCTCTCTGAAATAGAAGAGGAAAACTGACTTTTAAAGAAAAGGAAGGTGATAGGATAAAGCTTAGAAATTGTATGTAAATGGAGAGTAAGTGCTACTACTGAAATACAGAGGAAATACCATGTTTCAAGTTTCAAAAAGGAATGTGGCATTCCTTTATAAGTTCATTCTGTAGCTAAAGCAGTACAGCATTAACAACTGACTATATATTTGTACAATGGTATGTAGGAATTACACTTGCTAATAATAACAATTTCAAAGTAAAATTACTGAATTTGAGGCCATTGCTAGCTGTAGAAAATATACTGGGGGATTAAAGTGTATTAGTAACAATTTTTAGAGCAGTATTTACAATACATTTATGTCATGATTTATTCTGAAAGAGTTTCACATAAATCTTTTTCTTCTTTTTCTTCCCCCTTCTCCACTAAAATCTGCTTTTTTTTTTTTTTTTTTTCTGGCCTTGTGGGGAAGTATGGGACAGAAACTGTTTTTGGAATATTTTTTTTTTATCTTCTTCCATCTTGAGCATAAGAGATGGAGAAACCCTTTTGTCCTTACCTCAGACACTATTAACCATATTTAGACTTTTCAGACTCATTTCTAGAACAAGTTCATAAAACTGTCCAATGAGTATATTTTTGTAACTGACAGGTTACAAGATGTAGCTAAATTACAGCTAGAAACCTTTTCTCCTTAACCTGTAATTTCCTTGCCAGTTACAAGTAACTTTTTTGGTGGCCTAAAGAGGAGGAGTATAAGCAGTTGCTGTCTTTCTGTAGTAGTATTTTAGGCAGTGAGAAACTGTTACGAAGTTAGTATCTAGTCATCTATCTTTAGCTCAGGCAGGTGCAGCTCTCTGCTGGAAGCATTTTTCAGTGAATGACTTGCTACATCAACATGCCGGTTAATTCCTCCCAGAGAGAGCTTTGTCTCTTGCTGCAGTGTCATGTTTGTGATTCCTGTTAATATCCCTTCATATGTGGTCTTTCTCATTTTGTATTTTTTGCCTTTTCTTACGCAAGAGAGAATTAAAAAGTGGTCACTCTTAATTCCTTGTTGACATCAGACCATGTTGCTCATTAATTAAGAGCGTTTGGAATTCTGATCATGTTCACCGATGGATTTACAACTGCTCCCTGTTTGCAAAGTGTGCGATGTGCATTGCATTACCCAGATGTCAATAAAAGCTTTGGATATAGTTAGACCTACCAAAGAGACTTGGGATACTCCTCAAAATATCCCATTGCTTTGCCAGAAAATTGTGAGTTGGTCTCCTCTGGTTAATTTTTGTTCTATGTTAACGTTATACCAACTAGCCTCTAGGTTGTTTTTTCTTGTTTCCTTATAGGGATGTTGTACAGCAAAGTACCAACAGCATTCCTAAGTCAAGAGACATCACCTTTTTTCCTTTTCTCTAATCCTTCAGGCAAATTTTTCTGTGAACAAATGGATTTAGTTTTACCTGTCCTTGACAAATCCATAGTCACATATATATATAACTTAAAAGAATTCTGTATTTCTAAGCAATAGTTTTGAAAATAACATAGCTGTTATGCCTTAGACTAAAATTATTCTGCAGTGATAACCTGGATAATGATATATGGAACAGGGAAAGCAAGCACAATAGGATACTCTGGTATTGACTTCTTTGAGGTAGGTTGGTCATTTGTTTTAAAGTTTATTCTACTTTGATTTTAAATGTCAGCAATCAGCTTGCTCCTCTGCTTGAAATTTAGAGAAAGAGCACAAAACTAATGTTTAATGTATTTTCACATGGTTCATATATTAATTAAATGTACATTTAGTTTTACAAATGAGTTAATAGTGTGATTTGGAAACAATTAGAGCAGGTTGACACAGAAATAAAATAGACTACATAGAGGGGAAAATCTGCATTTTGATGCTCGAGTGTGTTGCTTTGACTCCATCCTGTCATACACATTTTAAGCTTTATCTTTTCAAACTGAGGCTTAAGATTTCGGCATTTATGTAACGTTAAAACAGTTAACTATTTAAATTTTGGAACAGACATCATGCTTTCAAAATGGCACTATCAAAACCTTTTCTTGCATTGATATGGACCCTGAAGACACACTGCAAAGTACTAAGCCTTATTTCAGTATTAATTTTAACACTTTTTGCCATATGAAGTACCTCACAGAAGAAAGGCTCTAGGGTTATTCTTGTGTTTTACTGATTCGAAGACCAGTTCAGCACTACAGATCTTTAGGTCATGTAGTGCAAACAGTTATTTGGAGTTGTGGTTTAGTCTATTTCCTAATGGAAGATGATCTTCTGTCTTCATAGGTATGTGCCATGGAACTACCATGAACCCCAGCTGGGCGTGTATGATTTTTCTGGTGACAAAGATCTAGAGTATTTCCTGCAGCTTGCTAATGACACTGGTTTGCTGGTTATCCTGAGAGCTGGACCTTACATCTGTGCAGAATGGGACATGGTACAGCCTTTCATAACAGTTATCTCATTTCTAGGGTAAATCTAATGCAAGTATTTCTGTCTTGAAGTAGACAAACATACTTGGTGTATCCTTTGACAAGACTCTCTGTTTAGCATATTAAAATCAATGAATCTTAAGTGACTTCTTACAGTGCAAGCTTACTTTGTGTTTGTTTTTTCATTGGGAATTATTACTTGTAGAAAATCAATCTTCAGGTCTCTGTGTTTGTTTTTTCATTGGGAATTATTACTTACTTGTAGAAAATCAATCTTCAGGTCTGAGTATATGTTTTGATAAAAGGCTAAATTCTTACATTTCCTAAAAATGGTTACTGAAGTGATTTCCTTTGTTTTCCCAGGGAGGTCTTCCTGCATGGCTGTTGGAGAAGAAATCTATTGTTCTCAGGTCTTCTGATTCAGGTAGAGGCATCAATAAGGACTAGCAAATGTACACTTTAGCAGCAAGGTGACTTGCTGTTTGAGGCCATTACTAGGTAATTCATATTTCAGCTTAAGTTATCTTGTGAGTAAAATCTTTAGTACTTTTAATTAGAAGTGTGCATTCAAGAAGTACATAGGACCAACAAAGTAGGGTAGAAAGTTTCCAAGGTATTGACAAGTTTCATGAAAATTGGTGCCAAGAGAGAAATGATTGTCACCATTGAGGAAAAGATAGGTAGTTCTCAGCTTTGGCTTTTTTGGTTTTGCAACAGCCAACTGGCCACTCATTGTGGGGACCCTTCCTGGCCGGTCAGTGTGCATGTGATTCCAGCACTAGTTCCAGCATTCTTACCTGGTCATGGACCAGGCATGGAGGGATGAGATGAAACAGGAGATTAATGTGGTTGTTGGAGTGTGTATTAGGGGATGAAGATATCTGTAGTATCTGACTTCAGTTCTGCTCATTGTGGGATAAATTATCTACTTAAAAAAAAAACGGTACACATAGTAACATTCAAATTTGTTTTCCTCTTGAAATGTATTAGGACTACCTGTGTGAGACATATTGAAGTCTGGTGATTTTTCAAAGTTTATCAGTATTAAATGTTTTATTTTTTAGTAAACTGTTCTGGAAGCTGACATTTATGAACAAGTATAAGAGCACATCAGTTCACTAAATGCTGTTCTGTTATACTTTTTATAGTTAGAACACTAAGTAAAAACTACCCATATATAATTTAAAACAAAAACTAGAAAAAAGCAGAAAAGTTGTGAAACACTTATACTTTGTCTATCACAGATTACCTGGCAGCAGTAGAGAAATGGATGGGTGTCCTTTTGCCAAAGATGAGGCCTCACCTCTATCAAAATGGAGGTCCAATCATCATGGTGCAGGTAACTTCCTGAAAATCAAATGAACCCAAGCAGCCTGAATGCTTGTATTGCTCTTGTGGATGCTCCCATGGGTGTTGGGTGATAGTGTCACAGATGTTCCTTAACGGTTCCAGGTAGCTGAAACATTCTGAAGAAATCTTATCCTAAAGAAACCAAATGTTTCCAGAATTCAGAGAGCACTCGTCTGCTCTATCAAAGTTATTTCCCACAACTATAGAAACCAACAGAGGAAACTTGTGGAGCTTTTAGATCTGAGTTTCATGCCAGTTCTCACATAAAGCCAAAATACCTTACAATTGCCTGAAACCCTCTGACAGGAAAAAGGGGAATAAGGATACCTGCAGATAGAAGCAAAAGCAGCATGAAGTAAGCCTAAAACTTAAGACAAAACAGCCTCAAAATAGCCTAATAATAAGCACCTAACTTAAGCTGTAAATGTTTCAGAACACAATGTTGTGCATTCATGGTAAGTATCTTCTCTCTTAAAACTCATTCTACTCTCTTAAACTCATTCTAGATGTGCAGTGGTGATTGTTCCATATTCTTAGCTTTTGTTATGGTCAAATACTTTTTTTTTTAAATCCCTGGTTGTCAGAGGATGGGACATGAGACCCTTCTTATAATATGCCCAAAATCATTGTTCTTGAACAGCATATTATGTCTGTTGAGCAAAAGCACTGAGCAAAATTATTCCTTGGCAGAAATAAGATGCTTATAACACGATTTTCAGAAATAACCCTCAGGTATGTGTGGCATTGGATCTGGAGCTTGAAAGTCCATCCCCTTGTGGGGGTGAGGGGGAGCAAGATGCATACATCTCAGTAGTAGCAGGGCTGTCATGCTCCTCTCAGTCCTTTGAGTGCGTTGCAGGGCTTTGCTATTTATGTGAGTCCCTTGTTGGTGCCTCTGTTCTGGAAGTCCAATTTACTGCAGTTTTGATCATGTCATAACCTGTTTTATGGTTTTATTGTTCTGCTTGGGAAGTGGGTCATAGCTCTCCACTTTTAACAGAGACTGTGTTTTGATCACTGTTGCTAATTAGCTAGGGTAGAGTTTTTTGTGGAGGGTGATTTTGTAGGAAAATGACTTACCTCCGCATAATGATTGCCCCATTGTAAGGTACAGATGAGGAATGAGTGCCTAGAAGTGTTGTCTTCTCTTACTCCACAGGTCTGGAGTTAAAAATGACATTTTCAGCATTGCTGTCAAAGGAAGAGCAGGATTGGATTTGGGCTTTCCATTTTTACTATCAGATGCAGGCTGAAATTGGCTACTGCTTTACTGACTTGCTTTTACTGTGCAGGTAGAGAATGAATATGGAAGCTACTTTGCATGCGACTATGACTATCTGCGTTCCCTTCTGAAACTCTTTCGCCAGCATCTTGGGGATGAGGTGGTGCTGTTCACAACTGATGGTGCAAGCCAGTTTCACTTGAGATGTGGAGCTCTTCAGGGTCTTTACGCAACAGTGGACTTTGCCCCAGGTTGGAGACTGCTGTTTGTTACCAAAAGGTTCTGTTGCGTGTGTGTTTGTGGCAGGACAAACTGACTTGACTGCTTGACAAACCTGACTGCTTTGTTCAATTGTCTTTTGGGGTAGTGGGCATTTATGTATATTTGATGTACTCTTAAACATACAAGAATCACCCACAAGTACCGAGTTAGTTGTAATCACTTCCTCGCATCATGAAATCATGAAGAAATAATTTACACTGCTCATAGTGCGTATCTCCTAAAAATTAGCAGTAACAGTTGTCATTGATTCCATTGATTTTTTTTTTTATTTTTTTTTTTAATGTTGGGGTTTTTTTAATTGTTGTTTTGGTTTGGTTTTTTTTAATGTCCTCTCTCTGTTCCAGAATCCAGCCCTCATAGTTAATTTCTTTTTAAGCTAGTGGTTACAGGGGGGGAAAAATTACTGCTGAAGATTATCATTAGAAATGTGCACACTGCCACAATTTGCTGTGATATAGTCCTGAAGAACGGCTAAGCAACCATAGTGTGTTCAGAAAGTGCCCTTTTGATAGAAGAGGAGACTTAATGATGTAAATGTTCATAAACTGCACGGACTTGGCCAAACAGGTTTAAGGCACAAAAACAAACTCCAAGATAGATCTTGCCGTATTTTTTTTACCTGTGGCCGCTTTTGTACATTATTCTCTCTACAGTCCAAGATATGTGCTTATCGGGAATCTGTTTTCTTACAAGTAGATTGGAATTGTGAACTCCTTCATGTGTATCATTTATGAGATGGTGGGCTACTCGTGGAAGTAGTTACTTCCAGTCCTTATGGCTTGAGCCACTGGGAGTGATCAGAAGTGAAACTCCTCTTTAGAGATTGTCTGGCTTCTGTTCCTCCCCATAGCCTTGGTACCACAGCCTGAGATCTGTACTTTTCAATGACCAAGTAGCAATTCTGACACTTCTTAGACTTTTTGGTGCCAGGATGTCATTCCTGAGAAAAGCTGGGTTTTCAGAAGATGTATCTCAAAAGCAAAGGCAGGCATGCATGCATACATGTATGTATATATTTTAAATAAGTTCTGCAGCTTAAACACTGGAATCAAAGGTATTAACTCCTGTGGTTTCTGAAGTAACTTTCATGTCTGGATTTTTGTGAGGTTTGGAAGGCAGAGAAGAGACCTATTTCAGTAAAATGAAGGACTGAAAGTCATGGGTGTAGCAACTCAGTTTTGTTTCTATCTGCTCATAGGTGGCAATGTCACAGCAGCATTCTTAGCGCAAAGGGGCAGTGAACCTACGGGCCCTTTGGTATGTCTTTTCACTTAAATTTCTTGTATCATTCCTAATCGTGCAGTGGTTAATAAGAGAGGAGTTGATAACAGTGTTGGACAGTTTCAGAGACATGTTTGCAAAAACATAATTTCCCAGTCAGTCAGAAAATCTGAATAGAGACGCTTCTATGTGTTTGTCAAATCCACATTAACTACTGTTCTGTAAATACTATTTTAGTCTTAAAAGGTATTGATTTTGTTTGAGTATTTTTTTTTTGCTAAGACAAATGTTTACAAAGCAACGGAAACAGTAAGTATGGTTAGATGAGTTAGTGGGGTATGTGTGTGGGTGGAAGTTAAAAGCAAAATTAAAAGGGCAGGTTAAAAGCTGCTTCCTGTTTTCAGCTACCCTAAAGGTTTTACACAAACTATAATGGGATGTGAGATCACTGGAAGCCATTTTGACAAAGGGAGAAGACCCACTGAGGGCACAAGATTATCTCTGTGCTATGAAATTGTTTAGAAGGCAGTTTATTTGAAAGATTAATTTTTCATTACACCTAGTCTATGTATGCTATTTTGCAGAAAATGTGTTGGTTCCATCATTTATTTGAATGCCAAGCATCTGAAACATGTTCATATTGACAGGTACTAAAGAAATCCATGCTCTTTGGTACTTAAACATTTATTTTCAAAGTGTCCGTATGAAATTATTGAAACACTGCTTTAATTTTTTTGACCAGTAGTCTGCTGAAAAGAACTGACTTGGTGTATACTTCGCTGTATTTATAGTAGTTTAAAAATGGCTCAAATGAGTCAAGGTGCCTTTTTTCCTTCCCTCTTACTGTTAGTAACCTTAAATCACATTGCATTTTGTTCTTGTTCCCTCTTCATGTTTTCCCTTCCTCTTTTGCCCTTCCTCCTTTCAGGTTAATTCTGAGTTTTATACTGGATGGTTGGATCACTGGGGGCACCGTCATTCTGTTGTGCCCACACAATCTATAGCTAAAACACTTAATGAAATCCTGGCACGTGGTGCTAACGTTAACCTGTAAGTGTGTGTTCAGAGATTAATTTGGGGGGATTCTTTTTTTCCCCAATTCAGCAAAACCTGATTTAAGTGGATGGTTTTTTTCCTTTCTAGGTACATGTTTATAGGTGGGACTAACTTTGCCTATTGGAATGGTAAGAAGTTACTTACTAATGATGTAGGGGAGCTGTTTATGAATTAGGTAGTAATGTATTTTGTGAAAGAACAAGCTATACCAGCTTTCACGGGACAAAAGATGACTGCATTAGCTGTTCACTGTCTATTGCCAACATGTGGTACTAAACCCACATGGTATTTATCTTTGCAAAGGCTACTTCTGCCTCATTCAGTACTGTGAAACAGCTGAAACATAGATAAATTTGTTTCTCTTCAGAATATTTCTGAAGACTGTGTAACAGAGGAGCATGAGTAGCAGGAATAGTTTCTCTATGACAAATCCCAAGGCCTACATTGAATCTAAATATGTAGCAGAGTCTGTCTGTGATTGGAAAGAATTCTGAAAGTTGATAGCTTTTGGGGAAAAAAGCAACTCTTCACTGTTTCTATTACTTTTTTTTTCCCCCTCCCTTAGGTGCTAATATGCCATATATGCCACAGCCTACTAGTTATGACTATGATGCTCCACTGAGTGAAGCAGGGGATCTGACAGAAAAATACTTTGCCTTGAGGGAAGTCATTGGTATGGTGAGTATCCCCAGGACGTGTTTAGAATGGTTCCTTGGAACATGCCTGGTGTACTGCAAACTCTCTCGCTCTTGTGTTGGCATAAGTTACTTCGGAATTCACTATTTTCTGCAGGTGAGGGCAGTGAAGTAGAATAAGGGGATTAGGCCAACCTAACTGCTGCTTGTTACAAAAGGGGAAAGATCTTGCACCTCTCTGGCTATCCTTTCTGTCCCAATGGCTCCCTCCTTCCTTTCAGAGGAGGGGATACAGGTGCAGGACTGACGCCAAAATGATTCAGCTCTGCTTTTTTACTGCGTTTGTTTTCTTTCAACTGAAGGTCAGTAAGCTGAATCAGCTCACTTGGTTGGATCAGAGCCGGTGCTGCCACAAGGGGAGCAGGGGGAGGCAAGGAAAAGTTTGGCTGGGAGTAGAGATGGGGGAGGAGTGAATAGAGCTTTTCCCTTGCAGCATCGAGCAGACATTCAATCAGCTTAGACTCATCACTCGATGTCAGCCTGATATGCACTGCAGCTTGGTGCTTGGGCTGTCTGTATCCCAAACTTCATGTTGTGGTTTTGGGCCTGTGTGAGAATGAGCGTTCTTATCCAAATTAACACATCTTGTTTCTGTGGTGCCCCAGACTGTAGCTAGTGCGTGGGACTAGCTTTGCCTTGCTGTAAAAATGCACGGTATCTCTACAAACTGGAGATTGAAGTGAAACATGGAACCTGTATGTGGACTTTCAATAGCCTTCCTTTGGAGGCCATTCAGATGAGGCTTAAAAACAGATTCCATGGGAATCCCAAGGCTCGGGCTTGTACTTGCTGTCCCGTTGCGTGCCAGCAATGTTCCTATTCACTAGAAGAGTTTTTTGATGGGAGTAGATCTATCACAAGTGTGTAACACTTTTTCTAGGGTTGAGCATGCTTTTATCTCTATACCTGCAGAAGGCTTCTGTGAATCATTTTCTTCAATTTCACCATTACCTCTAAGCTTTCCGTTCATGTGGTAATTCTGATAGCCTTTCAAGGGGAACCGCCTGTCTTGATACAGCTTTTTTCACCTGAGAAATTCCCGAACTTCCTGTTTTTGAATTGTTTTCTTCAAGGCAAGATCCCTATCTGAAATGTAAGAAGTGTTCTAGTGCAGTGAGAGTGCCTTGATAAGATCTGAAGTGTTCAGTATAACCTAAGGTGTGTTGGGTCATGGTACAGCTTTTTTTGGTGTGGTTTGTTTATCTCTTACCTTCCATATCCATAGGATCTCAGTGAAGTTTTCTTGTCTGTGCTGTGGGACTTAAACCCGTAACAGTCTATCTACTCAGTTGCAGTTTGAGGTGGAGCTGATGTAAGAAAATTAAGTTGCCAGTAACTAATGACTGTCTTCAACATGTTAGCTGTGCTACAAGGCTAACACATTATAATCTTCCTTTACTGTTCCCTTCAGTTAATAAATGTAATAAGAGGGGCTTCAGTCTACAGCTTCTTTCAATTGCTGACAGCATTCTCTAATTTTTACGATTTGGGCTGAAATTTCCTACTTTTGACTACTTCTCTTGGGTGAATATAGTTTTTCTTTAAGCCTGAATATCTTGATTATTTTCAGATACAGAAAGGAAGAAATGAACTTGTTACCGGAAATATAAATCAGGCTTTCATCAGTCCATAGTTGAGATTTGACAGGAGGGCATTGAGAGTTATACTACTGTGTTAAAAGAAATAGACCACCTAAAAAAAACAAAAACAAAAAACCAAAAAAACCCCAACCAACAAACAAAAAAAAACCACAAAAAAAACCAAACCCACATGTCTTGGTGCAGAGGTGAGCATGAGTTTTATGGTGGATACACCATGTGTAAGCCCAGCAAATCATGCCTTGTGCTAAAATTTTCAAGCTGAAATCGAAGTAAAATCCTTGAAGAAAAATGGCCTTTCAGCCCCTCACCGAACTGGTTATAAAAAAACCCCTAGGAGGTGCCAAAGTGAGCACTCGGAAGTCACCAAATGTGCAGGTTGATAGCCTTCACAAGGGCAGTCATATGTGCATGTGTATTAAAATGTAGGCTTAGATTGCTTATTCACATGGGTATCTCATCTGCAGAAGTTTTTTTTCTCTACAACGTGGAGACAGGGCCATGTTCAGTAAATGAAAGAACCGATGGGAAGAGTGGATGTTGCAGGAGATGAGTAATGTCAGAAAAGGGAGAAGGGAAAGATGGCAAAGAGAAAAGAAGGTTGTAGGATCAGAAAGCAGGAGGTTAGGGTATGGAGCAGAAAGCCACTGTCTAGACTTGCCACTCCTCAAAAGTGTCCAAGAAAGTGGTGGACACCCTTCACCCCTTCTCTCTGATCTCAGGTGATTCTTCCTAGAGATATAGGGCAAGAAGTAAACAGAAATAGCCTGGCAGTCAGACTGTTTCCTTGTCATGTTCCCCTGTGATTGGGCAGTTGTCTAGACCAGGACCAGAGGGAAGCTAACAATGGGACCTCAAGGGTTCATGGAGCTATGGAGGAGGCTGTGGTCTCAAGGCCTGCTTCTCAGAGAAACCATCCCAGGCAGTAATGGATTAGCAGGTGGTGGTGGAGTGTAGTGACACTGAAAGGAAAGGCACAAGAGACTAACAATTCCCATATGAAAGTGCTGCTAAGGAAGGGTCATGTGGAGATACTGCCCTACAGACTTGGAAATGTTAACTCAAGCTCCCATGGACTGGCGAGACGACTGCAGGAGGGTTGTAGAAGACAGTAATGCAAGCTCTAGCCACAGGAGGGCTCCAAGGGCACTGTGATTCTTTGGCAGCTCGTTTATTTGCTATGCTTTTTATTGTTACCTCGAGTTGAATAGTTATTAAAAATTTTCTATCACATGTGATCAAGTCAGATGTGTGGTTTTTTTTTTTAAAAACTGTCTGAGACTACATCCAGCTTTAATCCTTTATCACAGTGCGATTATCTGCTTTTAGCCAGAGTTCTACTTTTGTAAGTTGTAAAGTGAAAAGTGAGAATTCAGTTAAAGCATGTCTGTATTTGTTTCATGTGGTTTTTTTCCCTCCTTCCCTTTCTAGTATAAGCAGTTACCAGAAGGTCTTATCCCTCCGACAACACCCAAATGTGCATACGGGAAGGTTCGCTTGCGGAAGGTAAATTAACATCTCTAATACTCTGTGTATCTTTCTGTAACGCTGTATGTTTGCTTCTTGCAAAAAATGTTCATGAGGATGTCATGGCAGTCTCTACATATCATACAAAATAAAGTAAACTTTTAAGAAGGAGGGAGCAGAGCTTGGGAGTTAGGAATCACGCCCATGGTGGAAAATTAGAAAATGTATGTTATCTGGATATAAAAAGATAATTTTTACAATATGCAGTATGTTCCTGAAGTTTTACTCAACTGAAACAAATATATTATTAACACAACAGAAACATAGTTGTCTAAGATATGTCATGTATGAGTAATGTAGCTGGGGGAATGCTAACATGAGATCTATGAGCAAGGAGTGGTTTTGTAGCTGGTGATGCCTCTGAAGTAGAAGCAGCAGGTAGGATATACATGTCTTTTAAATGCTTCTAGGCGTTTAAATTTTGAATATGGAACATTTTCAATAAATTTGAAAGTCGTATTGATAAAGTTTCTTAGAAGATTTGTGAAAATCTGTAGCTGATGACAGAAATTAAATTAGTTTCCTGCCAAGGGAAAAGCATGCAGAACCCAGCCTTGCTGTATCCTGTCTGACAACACTGGTATAACTGGTCAGCCTGTGAGTAGCTGGATTTTGTCTATAGCACCATCATTTCAGGACCAGTGACAATTTTCTGTGAAATATGGTTGTGACCTAGGTTCCTGCAGTGAGTGTAGATGATAGTTTAAGGATGGATGGAAGAGACAACAGGTGTGAACTTGGCTATATTCATTATGCTGGGCACAGACAAGTTGAGGTAAGGGATTACTGCAGCTGGTGTACTGGATACTGTAATTCATAATGCTTTGATTTTATACTTTGCACTTTTAATTTGGCAGCCACCTTTCCAATCAACAGTGTATCTGATCTGTTATGCGCTGCAGCTGAAGCATTGCAAAATTTGGTAGTGATGAGGCTTTGCAGGCATTTTCAATTCATCCCACTCAAGTGGTGGGCAGAAATACTTTTTGTATAAAAGTGATTCACCAGTGAAGTTGAAACAGATCTATATCATTTTCAACAACCGTTGAGTATCTTCAAGATCTTTTAGGGCAGGAGTTGCCAGATGAGGTTACACTGAACTGGCTTATATTTGGTAGTGACTAATTATATACCGTTATCAGTACACCCACCATGTCTGCTGCTGTCATAGGTTGCCAGCCTTTGGGAGCCTAGCAATCAGATTTTCACTCTCCCATCTTCTCATGGTTCCTGGCTCTCAGATAGGCTGTTCAACTTCACTAGAACTTTCTCTTTCATGCCTTCAAGAAATGAATGCTGCCGGGTGCCTGGCCCAGACACCTCTCTTGCAAGGAGGAGTCAGATGACTAAACTTGCTCAAATATTGCAGCTTTGACTTGGCCAGCACAGTGGGAGCCCTGTTCCCGCACCTTTTCACCTTCTATACTTCCTGCCTTTTTGAGAGGAGCAAACTTCCACCCAGCAGTTTTAGGAATCCAGATGGCATGGCTAAACTGCCAGTTCCTGTCACTGCCTATACATATACTGCCATCTGCACTGAAAGTCTCTAGAACTATTTTCTGGGAAGAAGGCTGCTTTTTACTCTCTGAACCCACTGTGAACTTCAGCGGCAGTTTATTCCTCTGGTTACCCTGCAACACAGGGTGAGCCTCATATCACAGAGGGTTTGTACCATCCCAGCCAAAGACATCCTCCCAACTCCATGATGCATTCTAGCCCCTGCTGGGACCAGGTCCAGTGCGCCTTGTTGTATGGAGAAGCCTGAATGTATTTGGGTGAATATCAGAGAGGGGGTGTTCTAAATGATGGGACTTAGCTTTATAATAGTGAACTTCCCAGCTATATTGTTTGCAGTGACAGTGCTAAAACAGGCACTGTGTGAAGCTTCACTGTGCAGCTGAGGTCCAGCAGTCAGTCTGTTATGCAGAGTATTGAATCTACTGCAGTGAACCAAGTCCCTTGACACTTTTGCAGAAAGGAAGAGGGAAAGGAGACTCCAGAGTATTTTCAGGAGTCATATGGTATAGAGGTACATGTAACCAGAGCAGGCTGTTCTCTATTTTTTTTTTTCCACAAGGTACCCTCTGACAATTCAGTCTTTAAGTACCTGATCAGCTACTCAGGACCTAAACTTGAGGAAAAGGCATCTTTGCTCTTAGCAGTGCTGCCTGTCATATTCGCTGGTTTTTGCGTGTTTGCAAATAGGTTGCCCCAGGCTAGTTGGGGAGGGAAAAGAAATTAAAAAAAAAAAAAAGAAACCCCTGCTTTTTCCTGATCAGGCAGTTGTTCATTTTGAGCTTCTGAATTATTTTAAAGAATTCTCCTGGGTGGGAAAAAATTTAATAAAAGATGCTGGGGACACTGACTTTGCTACAGAAGAACAGAAGACAGGACAGGGACAACGAGGCAATGAGGGGAAAAATCTTATTGCATAGATGCAAAAGAGTAGTGTTGAAGATGAGGAATGAGAGCAGGCAAAGGTAGAACAGCAAGAGATGAGCTCAAGAAATGTGAGCAAGATGACAGGGTTTAGGGGCTTAAGACCCAGGATGTGGGGAGCATGCTTTTCACAGGGAAGTAAATGAGTCTTAGTGCCTACAATGTGTCTGCGTGGCTGTGCAGGCATGTGAGCAGGTGGTGGTTTCTAGTCACCGCTTGGAGGGCCCTGAGGAGTGCTTGGTCACTCATTTATTGCTGATCATGACATCATATGGTATGGAATATCCCTTTGGTCAGATGGGGTCAGCTGTGTCCCCTCCCAGCTTCTTGTGCACCCCCAGCCTCCTCGCTGGCGGGGCAGTCCGAGAAGCAGAAAAGACCTTGACTCTGTGTAAGCACTGCTCAGCAGTAACTAAAACATCCCTGTGTTAGCAACATTGTTTTTACCAAAACATAGCCTCATACAAGCTACTATGAAGAAATTTAACTCTATCCCAACTAAAACCAGTACTATACTGAAGAAATAATTGTGTGTATGTAGATGATTCATGCTGATTTGTCACATACAGCATTTTGCACAGTTATGTATGTTTTAATATATAATTTAATATTTCAGCACTGCTGACTTTCATGTATGCGTTGCAAAATTCAATACTGCTGTTACTGAAGTAACCTCAGAAGTTTGTATTGCTGTAAATGCTCTTACAGTATACAGTTTTACATTATTTTAAATGCCTAATAGTTTTTATGTTTTTTCCTCAAGCATTTGAAAGTAAATCTGCATTTAAGAAATATTTTGAATGTCTGATGTGTAATTACCATTGAAGAGTGACAATATTTCTGGTGAAATACACTTGCATGAAAAATATGAATGGAATTGATTTTTTGAGCTTGTAAGACACTAGGCATATCATGTGCATCTTCACTAACATAAAATTGATAGTGGACTTTGAGAGAATATTGTAGATGAGTTGAAAACTCTATAATTGCAAAAGGAAATTGTAGATGGCAACAAAAGGCAATTTAATTGTACACATGTAAGTCCTTACTCAGCAAGATACCACATGTGACTAGCCTAAACCTTGTTCCAAGCCTCACTGAAATCAGTCCAGCTACTTATATGTGACACTGAATTACAGCCTTATACTAAATAGGGTAAATTAATCTTGGATAACTCTTGACGGAACCAAATTGTTTCCCTACTTAGCTCAGAGTGATTCACTGGAGATCAGTGGCATTTTTCCTAGCTTGATTGTAAGTATATTTCAGTAAAGTTTAGATAATATAATTGTTTCATATTAATTATCCAGAGCAGTTGTGTTTGTTTATAGAACTTCTGTGAGAAACTCCTGGGTTAGTTCTCATTAAATAATAAAGGGTCACTTTTATGAATGCATAGCAAATTTAGAACATCTGGATTTTTAAAATATTGCTCCACATGTAGCATGTTTCTTTCAAGATTCATCAGTTTTCTGTATTGTATTATTAATGTGTCTGTAAGGATGATGTAAAGGCTTAAGATTTCTTTGCTTTCTGGACAGATGCAGCTAGGTGGCTGAATATGCAAGCTGTTATGTTTGGATTGAAATTTATTGACCTTCATATATCTGCTTTTTCTATGCTGCAGGTGGGCACTGTGGTGGAGGTTCTTGACAGGCTGTCAGCTGCTGGACCAGTGAAAAGCACTTACCCGTTAACCTTTGTTGAGTTAAAGCAGGTGAGGATTCCTTCAGTAGGCCCTTCGCAGTAATTTTGTAAAGTTTATTTGAACAACCCTCTGTGGTATTACTCTTCTTATGTCCAGTGTCTTACAACTTAGCACAGAAGTAATAGTATTATAGAGATGTCCAGGATTTTTGCCTTGGAGACATATCCATATTTGATAGTGCTCCTGTTTTGCACCCAAGGTTTTCCTCTTTCCATGAATGTAGTATCTATGCTGTCCAAGCTTTCATCTTTATCTCTCTCCTCTTTGAAGTAGTGATTTTCAAGTTCGTAAGAGACTTTTTTTATCCATCTTTTTCTTCACTGCTAATTTTCCTTATCCCCACCTGTTAGTAGAGTGAGCACAGTGGCTGAGACACTGCTTCCTCATACAAGTCAGGAGGCCTGGAGGTTGGGGAATGCAATCTATTTGACACTTCTGTGGGCCTCCTACTTATTTGTAGTCCTTTTTCTTTTACTACATGTATGGTGAGGCAAGAGAATGCAATGAGAGAAACCTTTAGGAGCAACCTCTTGGAGCTGTTGCAGCCCACTTCCAAGGTCATTCACCCCACTGGCTGAGATAGGAAAAATACCTCTCTGCATTCTCCTGTGGCTTCTGCTGACTCCCACTCTCCTCTGTTTGGAGGAGATTTTGGTGACTTCCCATATCTTCCCTCACAGTCAGATCTTTCCCTTGCTGCTGAGGGACTCTGTCTTTCCATTGAGGTTACACGGCTCCTTGATCGCTTCTGTGCCAAATTTGGCAGAGACTGGAGCATGGGTGCTAATTGCCTGCAGCTAAAATAAACTACTCGAGAGAATGTGATGCTGGTCAGAGTTAGGGAGGGAGAAGAGGGGGGAGCAGTTCAACAGATGCCTGGGGTATGGCATTAGTCAAGTTGGGGCTCAAAGCTCAGATTTTTCCTTTCCAAGCCGCTAAAACAGAGGTATGAGAGAAGCTGCAGGTAGTTGTGGCTGGATGTAATTTCTAGTGGGCTTTTCTCGCTCGTCTTCTGGCCTTCCCCGCCCTTAATACTCAGCTTAGGAAAACTCCTGAGAGAAGAGGGCAGCCAGCAGACCTTCCTAGCATACTTGAATTACTTTTTTTTTTCTTTCCCTCCCTTGCCTCTCCTCCTTTTCTGAGCACCTTGTTGCAAATGTAATGCAAATATAATAATTATAACAGAATGGAAATGGTTTACTCTCACTTCTTCCTGCCAGGGTTATGTTCTAATCCAAGTCTAGAAGATAAATGGTTTTGTGGCTACTGAGTGAAAGAGACGATGCATTTTTTGATTTTTTTTTATTGATTTGTGTTTCACTTTGTGGTGAGAATAAATCTAATGACTGTGACTTTTTTTTTTCCTTTTCTGATGGGGAATTTAGTGAAAAATAGTGAAAAATATTCCAAAATGTTCCTTATATATATCAGGTATTTTTTAAAATGGATCGTATCAACTCGATGAATATATCAATTTATGGGCACTGGGTGACAAGTGAACTTTCAAGTTCTATAAACTCAGTTATGAAGGGATTTTCCAGTTATCTTGTCATTGATTTTAATGAAGAAATAATACTGTAGGTCATTAACTGCTTTGTTTTTATTGAGGAAATACCTTCATAGCCAAGACCCTTGTCTTTTAAAGTTATGTAAGTGTTCTGATGAAACATTTAAAAATGGAAACTCTGTGGAATATACACCCATTACTTAAAGGTCAAAGTGAACTCTAATCTGAAGCTGGTATCTGTGATAGATGCTATCTGAAGTGAATGAAAGTTAACGTTTCAATCTGAGCGTGTAGGCAGGAATGTGGGATATTTCTAATTCATGACCTGAACTGAAGCTACGGAATGACTTGGTTCATTAATCTGAGGGTTTTTCCTTTCTTTTCTTTTCTCAGTATTTTGGGTTTGTACTGTACAGAACTGCACTTCCAAAAAACTGTACGGAGCCAACACAACTGTCTTCACCTTTAAACGGAGTCCATGATCGCGCCTATGTCTCTGTTGATGGGGTAAACATTATTTGCTGGTATTCATTTCTGCCATGAGTGGCCTTCATGACAGTCATGGATACAGGCAGGCTTTTTTTTTTCTCCTTTCTCCAGCTTACCAAAACAACTTTATTAGATAATCTTATTTAATTAGATGAAGGAAGTAAGGAAGTATACAGCTGATTCATACTAAATGTTCATGTTCATATTTCAGAAAATATGACTGACTTATTTCTAAGGAAAATGTAATTGTTTCTATTTGAATGTTGATACAGATTCATGACTTAAAGGGGGGGGGGACCTAGAAGAAGGGTTTACTTGCAGGTATATGAAACACATTAATGTTATATATGCTTGGTGGCTTTCTACAGTGTTTCCATAGATTTCTCTTTTTTTTTTTTTATTCTTCCCTTTTTTTTTTTCTTTTGAGGGTGGGGGGAAGTGGAAGCCTGAGCCTATGTCTTACCTCATGAAACTGGCTTCTGACCACAAGGGTTTGTTTTTTTTTTTTTAAATAGTTTATTGTACAGGATGTGAACTTTATCTTTCTTCCCTTAAGAAGGGTTTTTTTCTGCTTAATGAAAATTAATAACAATTCACAGATTCTGATAGCCTATTTTTTTAATTAATCTTTGACCTGTGCTGAGTCTCATCACTTTTGTGCCCAGGTAAAGCTCTTCTTTCCTTATGTTGTGGGAATGGGAATAAATAAAACTAAATATTGATGCAAGCTTAATTGGAAGATGAAGCCCCTTTTAATCACTGATATTGCCAAAATTGTTTCAGTCACTAGACTAAATTTGAGAGCTTGCTTTTTGTGAATCAGGTGCATCAAAACCCACTAGGATTCTAACAGCTGACTGAGTCAGTTGAAATAAGCTAGGGAGAGAGATGGTGTCGGTTAGACACTGCCTAGTAGCACATCCAGCTCATGTACTGCAATTGACATAGCAGCTTTTTGTGTGTATGCTTGCATGCAAGAGGAGGAAAGGAAGTTTTTTTTAAAACTTTGTTTCTTTTGTCCTCTTTCCTTTTTTCATGTAAGTTGAGGAGACAAATAACAGGAGTTTGTTGGTTTTCAGTGGTTATTGTTTTCTTCCTCTTGATGTAATTCATACAGGTTCCTCAAGGTGTCCTTGAAAGGGACAAATCGCTTACGATAAATATAACTGGGAAGGCTGGAGCAAATCTGGACGTCTTGGTAGAGAATATGGGCCGAGTCAACTTCGGTAGATACAATAATGACTTTAAAGTAAGTAAAATCAATTGAATTACTGAATTGTGGTGGCTCTTCCTCTTTTCCACAGGTTAAAAAGAAAGTAGTGGGTTAGAAAGAGCAAAAAGATCAGGATTACACAGCTGTAACTTTAGCAAGTAGTTTTATTTTGAGGTAGTTTTCATTTGAGTTTTTCCAGTCACTGAAATCAAGGTGGAATTAAAAACTGACAGACATCTTTCACATTTTTTTTTTGTTGGCTCACTTATGTTGTCAGCCAAAGTGTCACCCACAAGACTTTCAGGTTATGTTGAGCCTGTAGCTAACATTTTAAAATGTGCAAAATTGTTTGGATAAACTCCAAGAATGAGATGGAAACCAGTCTAGATCTTGGTTGTACTTTGAGGCTTGTGAATCCTGGGGTTGTATTTGTGTGTGTATGTATGTGTGCGTATTTATATGCTTTTTTATATACTTTTTTGTATCTCGCTCCATGTCCCACTTCATTTGTCAGCAGCGTACCCTTGCAGTATTTTCAGTGTGGCTAGGAAAGGCTGTCTCACAAGCACTTTACCATGCAAAATTGCCAGTTCAGATTTGGACTGATCAGGTGTTAGAGATAATTATCAGAAAGCTTCCGAATGCTTCTGGGTCTGTGCTACACTTTGGAACTGTCACCTCCCCACGTGAGTGGCTGTGGTGGGTTGACCTTGGCTGGCCACCAGGTACCCACCAAGCTACTCTATCACTCCCCTCCTGTTGAAGGACAGGGGAGAGAAAATATGATGAAGGGTTCGTGAGTCAAGATAAGGACCGGGAGATCACGTAGCAATTACTGTCACAGGCAAATGAGACTCAGCTTGGGGAGATCAATTTGTTGCCAGTTAAACAGAGTAGCATAATGAGAAATAAGAATAAATCTTAAAAATACCTTTCCCCCACCCCTCCCTTCTCTCAGGCTCAACATCACTCCTGATTCTTCTACCTCTTCCCCCCAAGCAGCACAGCGGGACGGGGAATAGGGGATGTGGTCAGTTGATAACGCTTCATCTCAGCTGCTCCTTCCTCCTTGCACTCTTCCCCTGCTCCAGTGTGGGGTCCCACCCACGGGTTGCAGTCCTTCATGAACTTCTGCAATGTCGGTCCTTTCTATGGGCTGCAGTTCTTCAAGAACTGCTCCAGCATGGGTCCTTTCCACAGGGTGCAGTCCTTCAGGAATGGACTGCTCCAGCATGGGTCCCCCACGGGATCACAAGTCCTGCCAGCAAACCTGCTGCAGTGTGGGCTCCTCACTGCAAGTCCTGCCAGGAGCCTGCTCCAGCACAGGCTCTCCACAGGCTCCAGCTTTGTTCAGGGCACATCCACCTGCTCTGGTGTGGGGTCCTCCACAAACTGCAGGGTGGATATCTGCTCCACTGTGGTCTGCCATGGGCTGTGAGGGGACAACCTGTGTCACTATGGGTTGCAGGGGAATCTCTGCTCTAATGCCTGGAGCACCTCCTCTCCCTCCTTCACTAACCTTGGTGTCTACAGAACTGTTTCGCTCCCGTTTTTCTCATTCCTCTCACAGCTGCCACACAGGTTGTATATTGGGGCTTTTTTTACCCTTTCTTAAACACATTATCACAGAGGCACTACCAGCATCACTGGTGGGCTCAGCTTTGGCCGGCAGTGTGTCCATTTTGGAGCTGGCTGGAACTGACTTTGTCCAACATGGGGGCAGCTTCTGGCATCTTCTGACAGAAGCCACCCCTGCAGCCTCCCTGCTACCAAAACCTTACCATCTAAACCCAATGTAGTGGAGGTGCCACTAATGCAACACTAGGAAAGGCAGGGGCAAAAAGGAAACGTTTCTAGTTTTAGACTTAATGGAATCCCCCAGTGCTGTGTGATATTTGCTAAAGAGAGGAGTATTGTAGAGGCCAGTCTTTTGTTGTGTTTTTGCTGTGTTCAGTGCCACAGCACGCTATTTTTTTGGTTTTTTTGATATTACTAGGCCACAAGTAGTAATGAGTAATTACAAAGCTTTACAATTAAGAAGAGCTTTGCAGCCCCCAAACCGCTAGTTTTGACTTGGCCTAAACTGATTTGGTGGTGTTCTTTCAGAAAGTTTGTCAAATGTTTAATGACTCTCCAGGTTTATAGCTGACTGGTGATTGTGGTGCCTTTTGGTGCTAGGGTGATGCCAGGCAAATTAGAAGCTTCTGTTTCCTCTCAATCTAAATTCTTTCTGTGGTAGGTGTCTCGGAGCAGAATTAAGACTTGTCCAAAGTGTTTCTTGGTTAGTTTGGATGCAAGAGCAGGAGAAAGATAAACAGCACAGGAAAGATGTGTGCCTGAACCGTACCATTTAGTTGTCAAGCAGAGGCACATATGCTGTGAGGAAGTAGGATTTTTAAGGTTATAAGTAGGGAAAAAAAGTAAACCCAAGTGTGGATGTGTTGTGGTTTAACCCCAGCTGGCAACTAAGCACCACACAGCCGCTTGCTCACCCTCCCCTGGTGGGATGGGGGAGAGAATCAGAAGAGCAGAAGTGAGAAAACTCATGGGTTGAGATAAGTGCAGTTTAATAGCTAAAACAAAAGCAAAGCAAGGAATTCATTCACCACTCCCCATGGGCAGGCAGGTGTTCAGCTATCTCCAGGAAAGCAGGGCTTTATCACACCTAACGTTTACTTGGGAAGACAAAATGCCGTAACTCCAAATGTGTACCCCTTCCTTCTTCCCCCAGCTTATATTGCTGAGCATGACATCACATGTCGTGGGATATCCCTTTGGTCAGCCGTGGTCAACTGTCCCAGCTGTGTCCCCTCCCAGCTTCTTGTGCACCCCTAGCCTACTCGCTGGGCAGCCAGCATGAGAAGCTGAGCAGTCCTTGACTGCTTAGCAACAACTGAAGACATCAGTATGTTACCAACATTAGTTTCATCCCAAATCTAAAACATAGCCTTATACTAGCTTTCTGTGAAGAAAATTAACTCTATCCCAGCTGAAACCAGGACAGGATGCATCTTGACCAGCCTAGTTGATGAAACCACAAACTCTGGTCAAGTTTGGGCCTGTTAGAGAATCTAGTTCAGTCATAAAACATAGACTGGGAAGAGACCTGCAAGATCACCAGGAGGCAGAAACTCCTGTTCTCAAACTTATGGTTTTTTTTCTGTGAGTAGGATGGGCCTGTTTGCATTGTTGAAGAAGGATATATTGGTTATGGTTAAGCAGCATAGAAGAACTGAAGCTGAGACTTGGTTTAAATGAGTCTAATTGACCAGTTGTCTTATTCTTAAGTGTCTAGTGGTGAGGATTTCTAGGTGTATCTCCAATTATGCTAAGACTCTAGTCAAGGCAAAACAATCTAACTGTCAGCATTTGCTAAGCTGGTAGCCTACAGGCTTTCACCATATCGAAAAGCAATTTTCCCTGCCTTACATTTTGGAAAGTATGCAGTTCTTTAAATTCTAATCAGAACAAACTAAATTTGTGTGGGAACATTTAGGATGTATGAAAGCCTCTGAATTAAAAGCATCGGCAACTGAGGCTTTTCTGTGCTTGTGGCATATAAATTCAGTGGGTAGCAGTAATACCAACTCTGTTCATACTGTCACTTCAAGGTACCTTGCCTGTATCTGAATGTCAAAAGATGGATAGGGGGTGCTCAGTTGTTGCTGTGGTTGAGCTGAAATTCACACTGATACCCAGGTTTCAACCTTTTAAAAGTTTGAGTGAAAGCAAGTTTAGTAGACATGTACATTGTAAGAATAATCCTTCGAAAGCAGAATCCTGTGTAGAAGAGGCAGCCTTTCTCGGATAGCTTTGGAATACATGCGTTGCTTCTTCCCATAGAATCCTTCCCTCACACTGTTCTTTGTGTTGATTTTGAAAACTGGGGATAATTATAGCTTGGGTTTTAGATATTTTGTGCTTCCAAAAATAACTTTAGGGGAAGAGGTGAACTTTGAAGCCTCACGTTTCTAAGCAAATAGGATAGCTTTTCTGGGTTTTGTTCAGCTGGTTTTTTTAGTCACTTTTTTTAAGCTTGAAATGGAAATAGGCATCTAGCTTTTGGAAACAAATCTTAGAAGGATTTTGGTTTTAAAACACCCTGCTGATCTAAATCTTGCTGCTGAAGGACACGAAGGAGGAGTGTGGTTTCTGTCTTTTCTATATTTTTTCACATGCTCACTGCCACCTATATCTTTGTTTTACTTGGAAAATTTATATCCATGTCTGGACTGTTGAATATGAATTCTTATGCAGACCAAAGTAAGAATGCTTAGTAGGCACTTCACCTCATTAGAAAAATCACACTGTTTGCAGTGCCTGAAGATGGTCTTAGGGAGGCAGGTTAGAAAGTTTGGGCTAAGGTTATCACAGAATCACTAAGGTTGGAAAGGACCTTCAAGATCATCAAGTCCAACCATTAATCCAGCACCACCATGTCCCCTAAACCATGTCCTGAAGCGCCACATCCACACGTTGCATTACTTCAGTTGATTGCTAGACAGACTAAAGTCTAGGTTGTATAGAAAAGTTTTGCCACTTAACTCTGTGCAGACATTTTATTTTGATATAAGAAAAATAAGTTCCTGTTCTGTAAAGTGGGCATCTAGGTAAAGGAAGAGAAAACCAATTAGTGCTTGTACTGATGGTGAGGCTTGTAGAGTCAGTGCAATGCTTATTAGACATCAGAACAGACACACAACATAGTATCAGCCCTCTTAAGGCCATAGAAAATGCGGTTTTTCTTGTTCCTGTTTGACATGCGGTGTTTGCAACACCAAGTTAAGTTGCACTGAAAAACAGCTTCTATGCAGGGTCTATTCAAGCAGTTATATGGATGAATGCTTTTGCATTCATTGTGCGAGTACCTTGGTGTGCTGCACACATGGTTCCATAGAAATAAAACAGGACTCTGTGGGCCTGAAGCTGACTGTAAGCTTGAAAATTTCACTGAATCAGGGTCATAAAGCACGTGCCTTGATTTTGTGATACTGTGTGTTAGCTGGTAGAAGGTTTGTAGGAAGTAAATGCTGCTTTCTGTGCTATTATGCAGGTTAGTGACTCAGTGTTACCAAATCTCTTGATGGTATCTCTGACTTACACTATTTAATGCTTTTTCCACTTTATATTAAGCCCCGGGTTTTGGAATCATGTTAATGTTAAAGCAAAACAGAAATTTTCGCAGTTACGGGGAAAAAAATTTAGAAAAAAACCCTTGAGCATCAGTGAAAGCTCAAAACCTGGAAGAGGAGCAGATCTTTCACAGAGAATAAATGAAACCCTTTATCCTTAAGCAAAGTTTATAACTTGGTGAAGACCAGATGCTTGTTTTTTTCATACACAGATTGGCAGCTGTTGCATGTACTTCGATTCAGTTTTTATTCCTGATGGATTCATAGTTGCAGCCAAATAACTTCGATAACATGAAGCTAATGTTTTATTTTTCTGTTGTTCCCCACCCCAGGGTCTAGTTTCAAATTTAACTCTCGATCAAGATGTACTTGTTGAATGGGAAATCTATCCTCTAAACATAGATGGAGCAGTGAACCATGACATTCATGGCCACCTTGATCAACCAAAGAGATCTGTTGGCAATCCACTGAGTTACGAAGCACCTACTTTTTACACTGGTAGACTTTCAATTCCTGGAGGGATTCCCGACTTGCCTCAAGACACCTATGTCAAGTTTCCTAGCTGGACAAAGGTACAACTTTTTGCTGTAAAAACTTGAAATCCACTCAAAAAACTACTGAAACTTCTATGGTAATCAAAGTCCACGTCTCTTGGATGGGTAGAAGTTGGTTGTAGTGGTGGGATGTCTCAAATATATTTAAACAACTAGGAACTGGATTCCTTGCTTTAAATCTGGAGATAAACCATTAAGAAATGGGAAACATATTCAAAAGATACATGGTATTGATCTAGAAAGTGGAGCATCACAAAAAAGAACAAACCTAGTTTTTCAACAGTGAGAAAGATGAACTGTCAGGCTATTTAAAAATGCTGCATTTAGTTGTGGGGTTTTTGTCTCGAGATGTGGAGCAGAAACAACTTTTTGGAGGGAGGGATAGAAGTTGGTTGTAGTGGTGGGATGTCTCAAATATATTTAAACAACTAGGAACTGGATTCCTTGCTTTAAATCTGGAGATAAACCATTAAGAAATGGGAAACATATTCAAAAGATACATGGTATTGATCTAGAAAGTGGAGCATCACAAAAAAGAACAAACCTAGTTTTTCAACAGTGAGAAAGATGAACTGTCAGGCTATTTAGAAGGGAGGGAGTAAATACATACTTTGAGATTAAACAATTTTTTATTTTGGAGAAAGTGAGATGCTACAGGACACTTTCCTGGTTATAACAATTGATTAAAAGTAACTAAGGATTAAAAGTAACTATAGTTGCGTTGCTGTGTGAGGAGCTATGGATCATGTTGCAAAGCATAGAGAGTGTTGGACAGACAAAACTGCTGGTGTTGTGCCTATAGGTACAGATCCAATGCATGGAAGATGCTCCTGCTTGTCTTCTGGAGGAGGTTACCTGTAACTGGACTGAATGGATCAGAGAGCACTGCAATGAGAAGTTTGTGGGCAGATCTCTGTTAATGGGAACTTCTCATAGGGCTGGAGTGTAGCTAGAGCAGCAAAGAGTATGTTTTCACAGTGCCATGTTTGAAACAGCCAGCATGCAGGATGGGTAACAACCAGCTCAGCTAACTGGTGGGAGGCACAGAGAGCAGAATGTGTGCACTGAAGTGCCATGCCTCTTGGAGGCCTAAGCATTTAAGTCCAGGCTTCAGGGAGGTGCCTGTGATAGTGTTAGGTAGCAAAATTATTCCTTTCTGAAACAACTAATTTACTGCTATTAAAACAGAGTAGGAGAAGGAGTTGCTGGTGATCCGTCTACAATATTGTAGTGGTTAAGTAGTTCCCAGTATGCAGAAGACTGTGATTCATTGCAAGCACTTATTGTTGCTGGCACTGAGCTTGGATGAGGAAGTCTTAGTCCCTGTTCCTGCATATATGCATGTCTTACACAATCACTGAATAAAGTCCAAAAATAGCTCTTTGTGCAGGATCTGGAATCTGAGACTTTTGCAGTAAATTCTGTGACCCCATGAATTATAAATCTGCTTAGGAAGCAAGATGACCATACCTGCCTGTTGGCAAACTCATCTTTGAAATGGCAAATGAGTCCAAGAATTCTTACATATTGGTGGAAATCTTTTCCTCTGATCTATAGAAACTTGTTTTATATAGTTTGTATACCCTCTAAAGCAGTCAAGGTGAAGAGATCTGAGACAAACTGTAAGTAAGGCTATTGAGTTCATCCTTCAAACTTTGTATGGATTGGACCAAAGTTTTAAATAAGATACCCAGGAGTAATAAGATTGAGGTGATACTGGGTGTGTGGAAACAGAGGCCTCCAGATAATTTTACCAATGAGCAAATGCCTTTAAGGCAGAGGGCAGGGTGTAAATTCAACTCTGGTCTCATTTTATCTGGGCTGTAATTCCTTGAGTGGCACTGTATAAATTGCTGATGCCAGGGTGTGGAGATGGACTCTTAATAGGGGTTAAAAACCCACCCATTCGAGTAGTTGGAAAACCATGGAAACAACACTTACCAAGAAAACAGAGTTCTAATGATGGTCCTGTATTTGCATAGTAAGACAAGGAATATGGCATGCTAGACAGCCTGGAAGGAAGGGTGCAGTATTAACAGTCATGACCTATGTTCTAGTCTGCTTGCCTTCAGTGGTTTTAAACCCTTCAGTATTAATAAAACTTCCTCCACCTTCACTTGAGGAAGCACAATGCCTTTAAGTGTGTATACCCCTGAATGTATGGCTAGATTTATCAGACTTTTTTTTTCTTCAGCAGAAAAGATGATTTGGAATCAGTACTGTTCTTGATTTCTGTGGAATTCCTGCTAAAGGAAATCTTGTTACTGAAGATAGAGATCCCCTTCCTTTATTTTGTCTAGGGCATATTTATTGGTAGTGTGTATAGTGTCATGATTTGCTGGTGTAGGGCATTCCCATTCCTGAGTGTGCAGTCTTCAGAAACTGCAATGTTAATACAGACAGTTTGGAATTGAGAAATTAAGTTCATAGCTTTACTGGAAAAATGAGTTACAAGCAGTGACTGATTAAGATCAGAAACAGAGACCTGTCTGATCATACTTCCTGCATTAGAACTCTATCTAGTTGCTTCCTACAGTAAACTCCCAACTTTCCACAGAGTTACAGTCACTCTCTGTAGCAGTTAGGCTACTGTCTAGTGGGTACACTTACTAATTCATCTTGTGTGTGGGGAGGTTGCATTAATGCCCTGTTTTCTTCTAAAACTACTACAGAAGCAAAGTGAGCTTGAATAAATAGCTCTTCTCTTGCCTTTTAATATAGCAAAAACAAGCCACAAAGCAAGATAAACTTGATTTTAACTTAAAAAAAAAAAAAAAATTTGAGGTCAAAGTTAACACCTTGGCAGAACTGTGCAAGATAGGATCTTATACCACAGAAGCAGATACAGAGCTAAAATAACTCACCTGCATTTGCAAATGTACCAACTCATTATAAAATTTCTCTTGCAAGTTTCATAGAATTTGTTTTCATAAATAATTGAAAAAGAAAACACAAGAAAAATACCTTTCTAACAACTTGAACAGCAATACTCACTATATTACAATTGTGCTTCTGTAAATCCTTTAAAAGTATTATTCTGATTTCAGCTATCCCAGATAATTTTAGAAATCACCAAGTACAGTAGAAGTCCTTACTTTCCACTGATTCAGACTCTTTATTATTCTTATCAGTGTACATCAATGCCATAAGTTAGTTTTTCCTCCATATTCTGATTTCCAAAGGCCAAAGCAAGAGGGAAACTACAGACGCAGTTATCTGTTTCCTTCCCTTTTCTTGTCCACTGCACTCATCTGACATATGATGAAAGGAGACTTAGGAGGAGTAAAAGCAAATTATTTGTCCAAATCATATGTATATCCTCCCTTCTGTCTTGCTTAATGAACCAAGATTCAGCTCAACTGAGTAGGAGTCTATTTACAGTTTTACTAAATATTCTGCAACTCACCAATTTATAAATTTTTGGAAAAATCTGCACTTTTGTCACTTCAATGTGTCTATTTTGTGGTGTATAAATGACTGTTAACTTTTTTCTTTTTCCCCTTGACCCAGATTTGTTTTATCTTTTGAACTTAAGGTACTTATAATGTTAGAACAGCATTTTGAACTAGGGATTCTGGCCACCTCCACTATAAAAAGTAATTTAAGGAGTTTGTATGCCACCGTACCCACAATTTCATTAAACTTAAATTAATGCTAGCAGACCCCCAAAGATTTTAATGGTTGTACCTAAATACAACAAAATACAGTACTCTCTTGCAGTGAGATTTCACAGGTTCTTTTGTTGACTAAGCTATTACAAGTATAATAGACATCTGAGTTTCATGTATCTAGACAAGCTGTAGCTTTTCCATGAAAGCATGCAACAAGAAGGGACTACCAAGGTAGCGTAGTCTTACATTTGTAGAGAGAGCCACAACAGAATTAGAATCTGCTTTTTTCTTTTGTGAGTTCTTTTTCCTTTTAACAATTGGCTTCAAGCAGATACAATTTTCAGGTTTGCTTTGGTCTTAAACTTGGTGCAAAATTCAGTTTCAGGAACCTGCAATTCCATTTTCCTAAGTATTGTCATATTTGGAATTACTGCAACATGTGACCAATTCCTTTTTAAATATTAATGATGGCTTTAACTCATGAGGGAATTTAGATCATTTTGACTGTCATGGGCATTTTCTTCAACAGATTTTCTATCCTTGTGTTCCATCAAACAAATATAGAGGAAATTCAGTTACTATGTGAAAAGAGTTACGCTTAAAGCTATTTTGTCATTTCATCTCTGTCAAATTATTAAAATGTTGTTGTTTTTTCTTTTAACAGGGACAAATTTGGATCAATGGCTTTAATCTTGGTCGCTACTGGCCGGCCCGTGGTCCGCAGTTGACCCTTTTTGTTCCAAGGAATATACTTGTTTCATCAGCGCCAAACAACATAACAGTGCTGGAGCTGGAGCGTTCTCCTTGCAGCACCCAGGCATGCGAGATAGAATTTGTAGACGAACCTAATATCAATGCAACCACACAGTATGAAAATTATGCTCCCCAACTCTTTGTTAGAGACATATGGCTGAACCATCTATAATGATTTTAGTATTTCCTTATCTTCACCCCACTTTGCTTCCCTTTCCCTCAAACCATACTTCCCTTTTTTGTTTGTTTGGGTTTTTTAATCTGCCAGAGTTGAATACTGAAATTCTCTTAAAAAATAAAAGCTGTATCTTTAGAAATTGCCTTGGACTGTGAAATTGAACTCAACTGGAAGATAACATTTGCATCAGTCTGGTAAAAATGTAGTCCTTGTAGGCTTGCTTATATTACAGGAACCCTCTTACCCTTTTTTTTTTTTACTGTGTTTTGCAACTGGAGAGGAGCCTATGAAAGGGTTGCACAGTCCCGCTAGCTTGCTGTTTTTACTCATGTGGACTGGTAGGTCAGAGCTGCTAATAGACTACACACTTTCAGCTGATTTTATCACTTGGTTAGTATCAAGATCATTTTAATCTGAAGAGATTTGCTGCCAACCTTGAGTGGACCTCAGTTTTTTTCACTTCCATGCAAATGACCTTGGAAAAATTTCAACTGGTTTCTTACAGGAGCAGTGAGAACAACTTTGGAAGAGAACACTCAAATGCAAGCTGATACAAACAGCAATAACATGGACACGGACCTTGTAGTCTGCATCTGTCCCCTTTGGAAAGCCAATTTACTGCTTCACTTCTGCTATCTCTGAAGACTTTAAGTACATTGATAAGTACAAGGACATACATAAAATTTAGGCTTTTTGGTTTGTTTTGGTTGGACCATAGCCGCTGATTAATCTGCCTGCAGAATGTAGTCTTAAAATGAGCCGTTTTTTCTTTAATGGAAAAATGGCTTTTTTCTTTTTTTTTCCTTTTTTTTTTTTGCTTTTTTCTTTTTTTTTTCCTGATGGGCCTGGAGTACGTGTTTTTCATAGGCCAGCACCCTAGAAGTGGAGTATTTTGAGTTAAAGTATTTTAATTCACTTTTAATCATTAATATAAAACTTCTGGTTTGTTCCAGTAAACTGATGATCTTTGTAAGTGCCTAATATTTGCAAAGATGCACAACCTCTGTCAGTAAAGCTAACTTTCTACAGCAGCCAGAATCTTCTTTTTGAATGTTATGGCTTTGATGTCAGTCACACAAACTCCTTGGTGAGATTTGAAAAACAAAAGATTAAGATGGTGGAATCGGGTGTTTTCATAATCTGTGGTTTCATCCTTTGATTTTTGTCTGACGTTATTAAAATGGTTCTTTAAAGATTAAATCCTTCCTTTGTGTGTTTGAGGAGGAAGAGTTATGAGCAGTTACAGTATTAGGGGAGAAATGGGGTTGTAAAGTCTCTATGGACAAGGAGTTGTTCATGTCTTATTTGTTTTCTGTATTACGAAGATGTGTGCAAAGTAAAGCAAGACAAAGTAGCTGCAGTGGGCTGTGTGGACCCCAGAGGTGCCACCCTTTTCTGAGATGGCCAATGCAAAAACCTGACTATTTCTTCACAGGTGAAGAGGACTGATGTTGTCACCAGAGGAGAGAGTGAAAATGAGCACCACTAGCTTCAGTATCTACATCTGTGCTATGTGTTTGATGGGCTTTCAAACCAGACACACGTGGTCACCTGAGCCAGAGAGCTTCCACTCTTAAATCTTCATTTCAAACGCAAAGTCTAATGGCTGGGATCTGTGTGTTCAGTACCAGACCCACTTCATTCGTGGAATAAACTGGTCTGCTCTGAACCTACATTTTTCTTTTTTCTTGGCACCATCCCTGTGCAGACCCCGAAACATGCTCTGCAAGCAGTTTATGATGAAGTATTAGTTACCTCAGAGCCAGGCCTTGAAAGTAAGGAATGGAACGGAATTAGTTTCATACCGGTTATGGGTTTTGTGCTTGAAGTGTGCAGACTGACAGTGTCATTTAGGTGGTATTCCTACAACAGTCAGTGCTTTAACAGCCAGGAGTACTTGTGAAAATACAGTGTAATCCATGAGTCTTCACTTTTTGTTATAACTTTGTAATATTACAAGCAGAAAGGCTTTGGATCAAGGATTACAAACATGCATCTGATTAGATATAAGAATAATGAGAACAACAGGGGAAAAATGGGCTTAAAGTTTTTCAGATAGGGCTCTAGGTAGCTTCATTAACACACCTGCCTATTTACTGCTTTCAGTGAGTGATCTCTTGTCTACAGAAAGGAACTGAGAGTTGGGGCCCTGATTCCTAATCCTGGTCTACCTACATGAAAACACTGCTGGAGGTTGCCAAGTGGTGCGATATGTATTTGAGTATGCAGAAAGGAGGCCTCTGTGACAAGGGGCCTTCAGAGTACAGACTACCAAGAACCTGTTGCTGCTGCTTTACCCAGGGATGTGTCTGTAGGTGCTATACCCAGGGTGTTCTGCCCTGCCCATGGTGCACACTGGGTCACTCTGCCTGCACCACTGCTGCTACTACATGGCTGGGACTTATCCTAGGTTTCCTAGACTTAGGGATTGTTTAAAAATCCCTTTTCAGAAGATGTTTTCTGTTTGTTATGTTATCAAGGTTGGGAGTAGTGAACCAGAGTCCCCAGCTCTGGGGAAGGACTTGAAAGTGTGTGTTACTCACAAGAGGTTTCACAGAACCAGTGCTTGTTTCAGGCCATTGCTAATGCAATCCCTGTTCAGTAGGATTTATGGTCTTTGTGGCCAAGGAATTGGGGATGTGTTTTAAGAGTTCCTGTTTTGGGCTTTAGCACATACACCTGTCCCTCAGGAGCCAAGTATATGTAGGACTCCAAAGTCAGGTTCTTAGAAAGGTCTCACTTTTAACTATGTAGTGTTGTAATGGGAAGAACAGTCTTGCTTATGAAACTCCCCAGCATGTGTTCATAGCAGACTCTGTGCAAGCATCGTGATAAGATCGCTATCTTGCACTTTGGTAATGTGCTTACAGCTGCATGACTGTAATTTAGCCTTTAAAAAAAGTTTTTTGGTAGACAAGGGTGGGAAAAAAAGGCTGCCTAATGGAATTGGGAATTGAGTTTGAAACTCCATCAGAAAGGGCCTTTGTTAAGTAGAGTGGATCTGTTGAATACCAGTGCAAATTAATAGGAAAATACAGCCAGTATCTATGGTTTGAAAGGACTTTTCTGTTAAGTTTCCTTATTTGTTGTAAGTGTATGCACTGTGTTTTAAGCTTCATGCTTGTGTAGGGCTCACGCTTCTATACTGATATTAACTGAGCATTTTCAATGGTTGTGGGCCAGAGCACCGATCTGAGCACAGTGTGGGGAAATGCCTAGCAATTGAGAGTCATCCCTCTAATGCTATAGCTAAGGAATTTTTCTTCCGTTTTCTGTTTCATTCTTCCTTAAGTCTTGCTGGTTCTTCCTCTCATACTAAGGAAGTCCTTATGTGCAGAGAAACTAAAAAATTTTCTTCAATGTGTCTTTGGTTGTTGAAGAGTTGATCTCCACCCCTTCCACCTATCCATCATTTGCAAGCTGGATGAAGATGCCTTTGCTTCCAGCTTGCTTATGCCTTTCTCCTTTCTTCCAAATCCCATTCAGAGGTTCCTTTTCACAAGTCCCACAAATCTTGGTCAGGTGCACAGAGTGAACACTATTTATGGATCTCTAGTCTAAATTTAGCCAGGAATCTCCCCTGGTTGTGGGCTTCTTGCAATACCATTCTCCAAAGCACTTGCCTTGGCACAAGGTGTGTGGCTGTGTGTTGTCCAGATCCTGCAGCCACCACAGATGTGTTCCTGTGCTACGGATGAAGGGGCCTTCTGAAGCATAGGTAGAATTATGGAGAAGGAAGAAAAGAAACTGATAGCTTAGGCTTAACCGTCCTCATGCCCTGTCTGTTGCTGAGCTTTAAACTGTGACCGTTCTTCTGTTTACTGAAAATGTTAGTTGCTGTTTTCACAGCAGGCACATATGGGATAAGAAAGAAGCTGCACAGAAGGAACATTTGCACTCCTTTCTTGCCTCCTCCATGTTAAATTTTATTTCTGGATGTTGAAACACCCTGCTGTACCAGCGAGGCTTCCCAGAAGACTTTGGGCTCTGAGAGATGGGTCTGGATCCTGCATGCACTCTACGTATCTTCTTTCAAACTTTCTGACTTTTTTTTTCCCCTCAGTTTTAGGATGTGGTTTGCACTCATCATGAATAGGTAGATCTGGTGTACTGAAGAACCTGAGAGCTTAGTACTGAACTCGTGAGAGGTTAGCATGATTTCCTGCAAAATTTTATCGAAGCAGTGACTTCTGCTGCTGTGCATTCCTATGTTGCTCTTTTGGTCCTTTGATCCAGAGCAGTATCTACTTCAAAAGCTGAAGTTAAAACAATTGTGAGTCTTTTGACTACAGCCAAACATAGACACTTGCAGATGCGACTTCATTTAAAGCACTAAGTCCACCTAGCTCGTGTTGAAATAGAAGAAAATGCTGATGGTTGGTATCTGCTGAAGCAGCTCTTTTTCCTTTTTCAAGTCTAACCTCTCAGGTCTCTTTGCTTTGAATCAAAGACTTCAGAGGTGTTGGAGAAAACCTAGAGCTTCTACAGTTCCTTTCTAATTTTAACTGTGATGCCAAGACAGTTGGTGTTTTAGTATTAGCCAAATTTGGAGTCCTGTTAATGACACTTGTTTGAAAAAAAGGGACACACAACACCCCCACCACCCCAAAATTAAGCTTGTTCACCCATCCTAGGAAATAAAGAGAATTTGGACACAAGGTGCCAGTAATTCAGATGCAAATGTAGAAGGTACCTATGCTGACATTACCCAGAAGGTTTGTTTTTGGTTTTTTAATTCTGAAAAACCCAGTCTGTACAAAGATACTGAAATGAAATTACAGTAGTAGTGTATTTGACTTGCATGAAGTTGGTTTCTCCTTTGTACTGTACCTACAGGAACAGTGCTGAAACAGGGGATGTTTTAAGCACTGTAGAGATACAAGCAACAAGAATATTCATTGTTACAAAACATGATCTGGATGAGAAGCCTGGTGAAGACAGAGGGGAAAGCATAATAATGTGTTGGGTAAATAGTGGATTGCTCGGGTTTGTGG